CTGAGACAAATAAAAAATGGTTATTAATAAAAACAGAAATAGATAAAAGTCAAAAAGAAATTCTAATATCAACCAGATATAAAAAGAAGCAATGGATGACGGAAGAAATTATTTAATGGAAGAAAGACGTCAATATAAAAACAAAGATAATCAGTTGTACAAAAAAGTGGATAAACAAATAAAATACAGAATTAAGAAAGCGAAATAACAATGGTTAAAAGAACAATGCGCACAATAGAAGAATACCAGAAAAGATATAATACTTTTAACACACATAAAAAAATTAAAGAATTAACTCCCAACAAAAGAACAAGAAAACCGGGAATACTGAAAGATGTAAATGGGAAACTTGTGTTGAATACTAACGACAAATTAAAGAGATGGACAGAATACATCAATGAATTGTTCAAAGACAATAGAACAGAGCAGATGGAAATAGAAGTAGAAGAGGATATGGTTTTAAAGATATTAAAAAAGGAAATTAAAATGGCATTAAAAAACAGCAAAAATGGTAAAGCGGTAGGTTCAGACCAAATCCCTATATAAATCTTAAACTGCATAAATAATGAAACCTTAGACATTATAGTAGACTTATTTAACTTAGTATACAAAACAGGACACATACCGAAACAATAGTTACTCACTATAGTTTACCTTTTGTGCTATCCCTAAAAATACAAACGCTAAATATTGCAGGGAATACAGAACAATATTCTTAACAAGATCTTAATGCAAAAATAGGGAAAGAAAATATATATAGTCCATACATCGGAAAATGCAGCGCTCATGACGTCACCGACGACAATGGAAATAGAATAATAGGATTTGCAGCATCCAAGGGCATGGTCGTTGGAAGTACCTACTTCCCCCATAAGAATATCCATAAAGTAACATGGACGTCGCCTGATGGTACAACCAAAAATCAAATAGATCACATCCTTATAGAAACCAGGCACTTCTCTAATCTAATGGATGTACGTACTTATCGTGGAGCTAATATAGATTCAGACCACTTCTTAGTAGGCGCAAAAATAAGAGCAAGAATCTCAAATGCAAAAAAAGAAAAGGGTAAGAAAAGTACTCGCTACAATTTAAAACTCTTGAAAGAGCCCCGTGCACTAGAAAGGTATCAAAATTACCTTGAACATGAAAGCACAACAGATGAGAATTTACCAGCTAGCGAGCAATGGGATATATGTAGAAGAACAATTAAGGAAGCGGCAAACAACGTCCTAGGACCAGAAGAATCCACTCCACGCAACAGTTGGTTCGACGATGAATGTGAAGATATCACTAAAAGAAAAAATTATGCATATAAACTTATGCAACAAAGAAGAACACGGGATAAGGAGCAAATGTACAAAGATCTTAGGAAGGAGGAAAAACGCATACATCGAAGGAAAAAGCGGACCTTCGAAAACCAGATTATGCAAGAGCTTCAATCATTAAAGGGGCAAAATGAAACTAGAAAGTTCTATAATATCCTAAATAAGACAAGAAAAGAATTTAAACCACGGCTGACGATGTGTAGAGACAAAAATGGACATATAGTCAGTACCGCTGACGCAGTACAAAGCAGATGGGTTGAGCACTTCAAAGAACTACTTGGTACCGAAGTGGAAAATGATGCGTCACCCCAAAGACCAAGAAATAACACTCACGTAGAACCTCCTTCAATATTTGAAGTGAAAGACGCAATCACACGACTCAAAAATAGCAAGTCCCCAGGAGTGGATTGTATCCCCGCAGAGCTCATCAAACATGGAGGTAACAGCATTATGCACCAAATTCACAACATAATAGTCAAAGTCTGGGAAGAAGAACAAATGCCAGAGGAATGGTGCACTGGAATCATATATCCACTGCACAAAAAGGGAGATTTGTTGGAATGTAAAAATTATAGGGGTATAACTCTTCTGAATACAATGTACAAAATATTCTCCAACACCCTGTACAGCCGTTTAAGTACGTACGTGGAAGAAATCCTTGGTGAGTATCAAAGCGGTTTTAGGCCAGGTAGGTCAACAATTGACCAGATTTTTGTGCTACGTCAAATCTTAGAAAAAACCAATGAATTTAATATTGACACGTTCCATCTCTTTGTGGACTTTAAGTCAGCGTATGATAGCGTCCTAAGAGGTAAATTATACGAAGCCATGAATGAACTTAACATTCCCCATAAATTAATAAGGCTCGTAAAAACAACTATGAGTAAAGTGATCTGCAGAGTGCAAATACAAGGCGATATGTCACAAGCGTTTGAAACATATGCAGGGTTACGGCAGGGAGACGCGCTGGCGTGCCTTCTCTTTAATATAGCGTTAGAAAAGACTATAAGAGATGCCGAGTTACACAATAGGGGAACAATCTTTAATAAATCAACGCAGATTATGGCTTACGCTGACGATCTGGATTTGATCGCACGTACTACACGAGGACTTAAAGAGATGACTTCCACCTTCTTGACAGCCGCACAAAATATGGGCCTTAAAATAAACGAGGAAAAAACCAAAATGTTAGCATCTATTCCAAATAACAGAGATAGAGCTAGAAACGCCGAACAAAACTTCAGTATAGACCAATATAATTTTGAGGTAGTAAATAAGTTTACATATTTGGGTTCTCTCATAACAAACGATAATGACACATATGAAGAAGTTAAACGGAGGGTACTGCTAGCAAACAAATGTTATTTTGGACTAAGCAAGCAGCTAAAAAACAGAAATTTAAGCCAGAAAACCAAACTAATAATATATCGAACACTCATCCTACCAGTGCTGACATATGGGTCAGAAACATGGACCATCTCCAAAACAGACGCAAATCTTCTGCTCGTCTTCGAAAGGAAGATACTAAGAAGAATAATGGGCGCATTCTGTGAGAATGGTATTTGGAGAAGGCGATATAATTTCGAATTGTACGAGAAGTATAAAAAAATAGTAAATGGTAGAGATGTAATATCCTTCATAAAAATAGGTAGGCTTAGATGGGCTGGACATGTGTCAAGAGCAAATGAAAATTACCCACCCAGACGAACTCTATTATCGGTCCCAGTGGGAAATAGGAGTAGAGGCAGACCACGACTGAGATGGAGGGACGGTGTGGACGAGGACGCAAGGAAAATCGGCGCGGCAAATTGGCAACGGTTGGCGATGAACAGAAACGACTGGGGAAGGTCAAGGCTCAACTAGAGCTGTAGCACCACTGATGATGATGATACGGAACAATATTACTAAAAGTCACATTCTCAAATTATTCTTGAAAATAATATATGGTCGTATAAATAAAAAACTGAAAGAACGAATAGATAATAGTCAGTTTGGATTCAGAAACGGACTAGGAACCAGAGAAGCATTATTTGCTTTTAATGTGTTAGCTCAAAGATGCATGGATATGTGCATGTTTGTTACGTTGATTTTGAAAAAGTATTTGACAAAGTAAGTCCAAATTCCAAAGACAAAAAACATAGACCATAGAGACTTACGAATAATAACAAACCTCTACTGGAATCAAAGAGTACAAATCGTAATAGATAACGAACCCAATCCAGAAATTGAAATCAGGAGAGGAGTTAGGTAGGGAAGTATTATGTCCTCATTACTATTTAATGTATATAGTGAAGCCATTTTTGAAGAAGCATTACTATCTCAAAGTGAAGGAATAATAGTTAACGAAAGATCTATTAACAACATAAGATATGCAGATGACACCGTGATTATGGCAACTTCTGAACAACTCCAATTACTGCTAAACAAAACGAAACAGTTTCTGTGAAAAATATGGACTAAAAATGAATATTAAAAATACCAAATACATGATAATAACAAAGAAAACAAATATACCAACAAACATACATTTGGGAAATGTACCGATAGAAAGGGTTGATAAATACAAATACCTAGGAACCTGGATTTCAGACAATAATGATCAAACAACCGAAATAAGAGCCAGGATAGAAATAGCAAGAAATGCGTTTGTAAAAATAAAAACAATTCTCTGCAACAAAGAGTAAGAGCACTGAGATGCTACATGTTTTATACGTGATTATAGGAAATTATAAAAATTGAAGGCCTAAAACAACCAAAATTGCTCTAGTAGTGATTTAAAATATAGTATAAAGGAAATAGATAGAATTTAAGGACTCAAAGTAAACAATATCGACCTGGGGAAAATCTAAAGCTAGTTTCAAGGCAATAAAAAAATTTTAAGACCTAAAATCACCAAAATTTGCCCGGAGCGATTTAATGAGATATATTAAAGGCAATTATAAAAATTGAAGACTTTAACGCAACCAAAATCTAGAGAAATATACCTCATAAAATGATATAGAAAAATAGGATAAGGTAATAATTAAAAAATCAGGTTAAAAACAGTTGTTTTATTTAATGATATTTTACACCTTTTTAACAAATTTAACTACTGTATGTTTAATAAATATAAGTCTTATAAAACCTGAAAATAAAGAGTGAATCAACCAGTAAATACCTACCAAACCAAAATCTAAATTAACGCTATACTTTTCATTTCCCATCCTCTGATGGAGATATCAATGAAGACTAAAAATTTGGAAATATAACGCAGCCACCACAAGTTGATCTTCACCAGAGAACGGTTGTTTATATAATACTTTGTAAAACTAACTAAAAACATTTATTACTCTGGAAAATACTCTCAAAAAATATTATTTAGTTCTCTATAAAATAAAAATGAAATTGATGTATGATACACAACACGATACACAATTTGGTTATTTCAAGACAGAAAAACGTTAAAGGAATTGTTTAATTGGAGCAAATAAACAGAAAACTCAGATTGAGTCTTCTTAGTTTTGATCAAGTAAATATTAAACTGTTTTAGGTTAAGTTAGGTTAGGTAATAATTTAAAAATAACATAACCTAGAATGGTTTAACTTTTGCTTGGTAATAATGACAAAACAATACCCAATTTTTTTCTTATTCCGTTCTATAGAGCAAAAAAATGTGTGAATACTTATCTAATATAAGATCTGCGTTAAATAGTGTAAAGCCAATATCAGATTCATTACTAGTAATAATGAATTGGTAGAAGGGAAATATGAAAAATTACAAAACCAAAAGCTTTTACTTTCATTTGTGAGAAAAATGGAAAAAACAACATTTATTATCATAAATTATGACAGCTTGAACAATTTTTACTAATAATTAAGAAAAATGTGTCCAAATGATATGCAATATGTTAGTATTTTATACAATGGAAACCAAGGTACGTAGTATTTTGTGGTAAAAATATATTCGTATATAAATTAATATTAGTAGCATTAAAAATTTACAAAAAAAAAGACTAGCTGTGTTATATTTCCAACGCTACAAATACGCTTAGAAAAGTGAAAATCATTACAGAACTGTTTATGTATTATGATCACAATAAAATATCAGGAATAAACAAAATACCAACAAAAGACTTGGCCCTATCATATAAAAATTTCACTAAGTCTCACAATTCGTCATGCAAGTCTTCGTTGTCCGATGGAGGGGCTTCGTAACAAGCGGCCGGAGTGGTAAATTCGAAGAAATATTCACATCTATTAGGTTCTGAAACACTAATAAGTTTATTTTCACCGCTGCAAGACACTTTGACTACGGTGGATCGTTGAGGACCGTTCCAGCACGTCTGACCTTTGTCGTAGGTCATTTGCTCGTACTTATTGGGCTCGCTACCTGACCAATGGCCCCAACTACCTAATCGGACATCGGAAGCGCCCGATTTTGGCTGTTGGGTCGTTCTATCGAACGGACACAATTTGTAGATGTATTCGTGGTCTTCGTAATCGAAGCACTGGCCTTCTAGGTCTGCGAATTCTTCTTCTACGCCGAAATCTTTTTCTAAATATTCTTCTATTCTGGTTATTTCTCGTTCAATGTCTCCGACGGCTCTGTTGGCTTCATGGTATTCATTGCGCGCCGCTGTTGCTCGATCTACCAGTTGTTGAGTCTCATCGTCGTACTTGATGGCTGGTGGGGCTGCAGTGGTTGTTGTGGGTTCCGGTTCTTGGGGCTCTTGTTCTTCCTCATCTTCATAATCGTGGTCTAAAATTAAATTTGATCATTATTATTTATTTATTCCATGAAAGTACAAATGTCATAAAAAATGCTTAATATACAATTACAGACCATGAGTGAAGGCTATGTGGGTCAAACTAGAAAAAATATATGTAATGCAGACACTAATATAATAACTTTGACACATTAAAATACTCCAAAGTAAGTCTATGGTCAATGTACAGTCCCAGATATTTATTACATTCCATTTTTTGTAAAGAGCTTGATTCAAGTACTATTGTTAATTGTTGCCTCTCTTCTCTCCTTGTTATCACCATAGAACTTGATTTATCTGCATTAAAGGTAAGTTTATAATGATCTAACCATCTGTAAGTCAAATTATCAACATGATTTTGCCTCATTGGGAACTTTGGTGAAGTATACAATGCAGGTACCATCGGCATACATTTATAGTGTACCAATGGTAATGTTGAAATCAAATTAGCATAAATAAGGAACAGCATTGGACCAAGTATCGACCCTTGAGGACCTCCACACTCAATATTGGATAATTGGCTATTCACCCTGTTAACAAAGGTAAGTTGTGTTCTTCCAGATAGGTAATCATTAAACCACTTCAAACTATGCCTCTTATGCCTAACTGATAACTCATCTAGTCCACACGCAGTTTTAGCTTTTAACTTAGTTATTATATCTTGAATTTCCTCTTGAATTTCTGAACCAACTGTAGAAAAGTAGTTATTGAGTTTGTTAGAAACAAGGTTGGAAAAAGATTTACAAAAATCACTAGAACATATGCATGTATATCAATAATTCAAGAAATTATTGATATACAATATATTATAATAAATCAATAATCAAAAATTCAACAAAAATTTTACCACAGAGGAGTCAAATTTATAGGACAGATAAGGCAACAATTCCAGAATGGTGTGGAAATTGTGGATTGGTTTATTGTTAAATGAATTAGCTTTTCCTTAAAAAGGAATATAATTATTGTTAGTACAAAAAATTGAAAACCATAAATTATTATCTTCACAAAGTGTAAAGAAAAAGAATGGATGGATAAACAAACCATAAATCATTGTAAATCTAACAAAATGCAGAAGAAAACAAAGTTGATTACTCACCTTCACTATCTTCATCAGCTTCATGTTCATCACTCTCATGCATGTCTTCAGCTTCGCTTTTCTCTTCCTCTTTCTCATGCTCCTGGTCCTTTAGCCTACCAGTTTCTATCATTACGAAAGGTCTTAAATTCTTCCAACATTTGTTTACGAAGGTTTCCAAGTCCACAGATTCTTGAAGATTTAAGTAAAATTTGGCTTCGTCATCAGTAACTACAAAAATGGATAGTTAATTGCAATAAGACCAATAATAGTAGTAATAAACAATTTGTAATACTTGTTGAATGAAAATATAGTTATACGGAAAAATATAGTGCTTTGTAATCTTTGACTGTCTAAGACAAAGAAAAAAATTATAAAAAAACTGTTATTCTCACCTTCGCCATTATTATCTCTATCAAAAGCTATCCTAGATTTCACTTCAGCCACTTCCAACCATCCATCTTGATTTGCATCATACTTATTGAAATACTCTGTGGCCTCGCCTTTTTGAGCTTGAGCTTCTTCTTCCTCTCTCTTCTGTTTTTCTTCATCTTCCAATTTTCTGTAGTATTCTAATGCTGTGCTTTCTAGTTCTTCGATTTCCTTTTTCAAAGCTTCCTTTTCTAACTTCAGTTTTTCTGCTTCTTCTTTGTTCTTCTGCAGTTCAGTCAGTTTAGCTTGCTTTTCCTGTTTCAATTGAATACCTACACAAAAATAAATGTATTAATGAAACTGTAAATATAAACGGTATTTTTAAATTACATGTTTGATAAGTGATCTATTAAAATTTGAGCTCAATCAGAGCATTTTTACATGTTATAATGGTTTAAGTGAAGCTATTTTCACAGTTTTTAAAACAATGGACACATCTGAGATTTAAGTGTCAAAATATTTGTTTTTTGGTGGGAAAAAGACTCCTTGACAACTATAAATTTCATTATGGTTCTACTCTCTCCGAAGCAATGAGGAGGTGGGCAGATTTTAGAATGATATGATTGTCCAAAGTCAGCAGTTCTCTCAAAAACATGAAAAATGTCTACAAAATCATTTTATGCGATCATTAACTGAAGTGACAGGAGATAATAGATGATTTGAAGGCATTAGAAACTATGGTGTTCATAATGGTTCGTAATGAAAATTTAATACTGAGAAAACTACCTATGTTAAAAATTTGGTCACAGTTGATCAAAAACAACACTGTGCCAACATTTCTTAGCATTATCTTCAGCTCTTTTGGTAATTGTGACATGCATATCTTGACATAAGTATGATATTTTCTTCATTTATTGCATTGAGATGAGAATAATCATCAATAAAAAATAAAAGTATACAGATATTTGAGAACAAATTCTGAAAAAAAAGCACAATGAAACTAGCAAAACTTGTAAAAACACACAAATTTGACACATTGGACTTCCCTGGTAAAAACCATGTTGTTCTGGACGGAACCTATCTCCAAAGTAATTCAAAATATTGTTATAAAGCACATTCACGAATATCTTAACAATTGAATTGATGACAGATATAGGCCTATGGTTCCCAATGTTACCAGCATTACCAGATTTAAATATAGGTGTTATAACTGCATGCTTTAAGCTTTCTGGAAATTTACTTTGTGTAAGGGCAAATTAAAAATTAGTATGAGAGGGACAGAAAGAGTCTCTGCACAACCTTTAAAAATGTATGCTGGTATATTGTCATTACCTGTGGCTTTTTTTGGTTTTAGTCGTAATGCTTTGACGAACATTTTCGACTGTTACTTTTTGAAAAGTAAAATCTCCCTGATTCAGTGTACTATTGAGACTATTTGACCTTTGAAATACAGAGCCAAAGTATTCTGCAAAAACATTGGCATTATCCTGACAGCCACTTATGTCCACACCCCTATAAGAGACCTGTGTTGGAATTGTATTATTTATACCAGAGGATTGTATATAGGACCAAAAACTACTAGGATCATTTTGTACATTATTCCTACTAAGCTGTTCCACCTATCGTCTCAGTGATTTGTGTTCAGCCAAAACAAAAGCATTTTCAGATTTATTTACCTGCCTATGAAACAATTGTTATGTTTGATCTTTGATATAAATTCCAAAGTAAAGAAAGAGGGATACCTATTTGTTGTTCTTATTACATTCCTTGACTTTTTTTGGGTACTGACATCTATGATATTTAGCATATTGCAAGGCACTCTTTTTGTTTATTTCATAAATGATTATACTACTGTATTTTTTATTTTGTTAAATATAATGGTCAAACATATATTCATAACAACTTGCGTATTTTTTATCATTTTAATAAATCAGATCTTATCAAACACTGAGATAAGAGCTAAGATGAGGTTCAACCACTATTCACAATACCACACAATTAAACATATTTTGACTTTATAACACGGTCACAATTTTATTAATAAAAATTTGATAAAACATTAAAATTCTTCAAAAATATATATGTAAACATATTCCAAAACAATTGCCTCACTAAGACATAAAAAAACTTACCCTTTTCGCTCATCTCCGTCCTTATTTGTTTGCCAGCCTTTACTAACTCAGCCTTACGTATCGCAGCATCCCTGGCGCTTCGCCCCAGCTCAATACAATTATTCTGACACGACGTTTCGGAAGCATACTCATCAGTGCCATCACAGCAATCACAGATACCATCATTGACCCTATTTGAAGGCAAATTTAACGGTCTATGTCCCGCATTTGTACAGTGGAATATACCGTGGGGACAAGCTGATGTTCCTGGCTCGTCACTAGCATCTAAACAGTCACAATAATCATCATTTACTCTTGTAAACGGTATAGTTTTGCTTCCGTCGAAACACGTAAAGTCTTTGTCTGCTGGATACAAAGAGGCACGAGAAAGAGACACTCCTCTAGGTCTAGGAACTTCTGATGACAGTATTTCACATATAAATACGACTATCACTAATAAAGTATTCATAAAAGTTGTATTTTTGAAAAAAATGTTACTCATTTTAACCGGTACAGTTCCCAATCTCACTTCACAATTTAATAGGAATACGCATGCGACAAGGTAGGCAGGCAGTGAAACGTCAAGCTGGGACACGTCAGTCTTTCCACTTCTTCTATCCTATCCTTAAGTGAAAAAACACTTAACGAAAACTTCAGATTTACATAAAGAGCGATTAAAAGATTTAAAAAGTCGAAATAATATTGTATTAGGTGTTATATAATTAGAATTATTTAAAATATATCGGCGTATTTGTGACATCTTTCACAATTGTCACTTTTTGACACAGAATACAAATTTCTTTTTGAGCAAACTGAAATAACAATTTGGTAACAATCTTTTCGGTGTAAAATTTAGAATAAAATCCAGCCTTTATAGTTAAGTAAGTTTTATTGATATACAGCATTTGTATTTTAAGATATTTTAAACCAAATTAAGGTCACAACCACAACTGTTTTAATTTTGTTGCGTCTATCATATATTTATCTGTTTCTAGACAACCAACATTACACAGAGACGTTAAAAGTTTTACATAGTTTAAGTGCAAGTGAATTTATTATAGAAATTTAAAGTGTTCCCTTCTGTATATATTAATGATTTGTTATAACCAGTAATTTTAGATTTGTATAATTTTATTTAAACCGCTTACCACATTTTAACAAAATATCAAATTTATACAAAATATTTATTTCAAAATATCGAAACTGTTTCTGTATACACAATACGAATATAATAAACATAATGAAATACGCAATTATAATATTTAAATATACAATGCAATAATATTAAAATTTCACTTTAAAGTTATTATAATAAAAAAATTACATCAGATATTTGGTATTCAAAATGAACAAACCATAGTCACTTACCAAAAAAGAACGCACCTCTTTTTTGGATGTTTTTTGTTATTATGCCATTTTTTTTATTGGTGTGGAAGTAAAACTGTAGAGTAATAGATAATTACATTAAAATATGAAAAAGTACCAAATACATGTGTAGAAACTGGTTGATATAGACACTAAAACCGGTAGTTTTCAATAAATAATAAAGCAATTGTTTAAATAATTTCTAATCGGTTTAGGACTGGTTTAGTTAATCTTATTAATGATTCGGCATCATTTAAACATTTTTCTACAGTTTTTGTGCAAATGGAATCGAAGACTGAGAGAAGCGAATAAAATTAAAGTGTATATTCTAAGATGGACTTCAATTGACTGTTTTAAGGTAAGTAACATTATACTTTCTTGGAAAATATTTGTTTATGTTCATCTGTCTTATTTTAAATTTTTCATAATTATTACCTACAGCTCGGACAGATCCGCGTTGGAAATTTTAAATAATTACACTCCGTTTGGATTTTTAATTAATAAATTACTTATCAAAATAAGACCTAGAACCTCAGATTATTAACTGGAAAACCAAAATACAGCATAAATTAGAATGACATAAAATTAGGTTCACACAGGGTTGTCGAGCTAATTATGTTGAAAAAGATGGATTCCCAAAAATAATTTTTCACTCATTTCATTTTTCATAATATTTTTATTGTATTTGTATAAATTATATTATTATAATGATTTTTTATGAGAAATATGTAATCTGGGCTATTTCATCCTGATTTATTTCTTAGTTTTTTGAAGTTATGGTATATTCACTCAGATGCAAAAAAAACACAAGGGAGAAAATGTTGGTCAAATTCAAAGTATTTCAATTTTTTATTTTTAGCCCTATGCTGATGATTTTTTTAGCACACTGTGCATAAATTTATAAATTTTAATTTGGTATAGTCAGTTTTTTGATAAAATTTTATATTTTACTTATTGTACGGGGTTAACACGTAGTTTTATTATTCTAACTTTAAAACATCCTGTGGAATAATTCCGTTTGCGAATTTTCTTAATACCTTATTTTTCGGTTGCAACATGTCTCCTAAGCATTTTGTTTTTTGTTTCATGTCAAAATATGACTTGGTTCATTTTTTAGAGCCAAATTAATTTGCTACCCACAAATTTTGAAGTTATTGACGAGGTGGCTTTGTTGACTGTTATCATTATATCATATTGACACTTACATTTTGTTTACCTATGATTGATTATGGTTCTTATTATCGAAGATTATGCGAAAGCCGTTGCTCTGGTTGAAGATGGGCGAAATTCTGAATATGTGGCTAGAGTATTACACACTCATCTTTCTACCATCCAAAGGGTAGTGGAACGTTTTATATGCACTGTAACAAACAAATGTAAAGCGGGAAGTGGCAGGAAGTTGTTTGTCGTCTGGCGTTTAGTGTTCCTTCCTAGTTCATTTTCCATTTTTTTGTAACAAATTGAATTTCTGGAAAATGAACTAGATGAACTAGGAAGGAACACTGAACTGCAGAAAAACAAATACGAACGCTTAACCAAACATAAGGAGGTAGAATCAAAACAAAACACAGAAAAGACAGTAGTCAACCTTTCAGATAAGGTTTTAACTACAGCCGAAACATCATTGCTAGCCAAAGGGGAAAATTTTGCGATTACATCTAAAGTTATACCTAACAAGATATCATCGCTAATATCGAGTCTGCGATTAGTAACTTACCAATCGAAAAAGCTGAAGAAATAAGGACAGACTCAGCGAAAATTTGACATAATGCTAAGACACCGAAAAATAACCTGAGTCACCAAAAAATCCGTGCCATAAAATCGTTAAACGCAGACAAAGATATTGTAATTTTACCAGCAGACAAGGGAAACGCCACCGTCGTAATGAAGACAACCGACAAATACAAAATCTTCTAGATCCTACAGTTAAAAGACTTAAGAAAGATCCCACAGCAGTCACGCTACGAAAAATCAATAGACTTATAAAATCTTCGTCCATACCAGATTATACAAAGCCAAGAATATGCAACAGCGAAGCACTCCCACCACTCTTTTATGGTTTACCGAAAATACACAAAGACGATGTACCCTACGCCCTATTGTGAGCTTCATAGGGACTCTGTCTTACAGCCTTGCTAAATATTTGGCCAATATTTTACAACCATACATAGGAAAAAAAGGCACGAGAGACAACCATATGGAATAAAAATCAGCGGAGAACTACTTAATGTGATTAGATATGCAGACGATACAGTAATTCTATCAGATAACATTGAAGGTCTTCAAATTCTGCTTGATCGTATTCACGAGGTAGGAGAGGAAGTGGGCATTAAAATAAACTCAAACAAAACCAAATTTTTAGTGTTTAGTCGTGACCCACATTGAACGAAATTGAAATATTGGAAATGTGGGTTCATAGACGAATGCTGAAGATACCTTGGACAGTAAGAAAAACTAATGAAGAAGTACTAAGGAGCGTCGACAAAGACAGAGAACTGCCAAAGACTGTTAAACATCGAAAAATGTCTTATCTGGGACATGTAGTAAGGGGAAGTCGATATAAAATTTTACAACTGATCCTTAAAGGCAAAATAGAGGGCCGTAGAGGTGTAGGAAGAAAACAAGTTTCTTGGTTAAAAAACATTCGTGAATGGACTCAGATACCAAATGCAGGACAATTATTCCATATTGCAGAAGATCGAGAAGCCTTCGCAATGGTCATCGCCAACGTCGAATAGTTCTGATATGGCACGAGAAGAAGACATAGGAAAAAACGATGCCCTTGTAAAAGACTCCGTCTATTTCATCGAGAAGATCAAAGGAATAACTTTACAGAAACCTGACATTCTTGTTAGCTTTGATGTTGTTTCCCTATTTACAGGAGTTCCCACAGAAGACGTTCTGAATTTAATTGAGGGACTAGTTTCCAAGGATATGGTGGAATTATACCGTATTTGCCTCACTACCACCTACTTTTCATATGAAGACCAGATTTATAAATAGGTAGATGGAGTAGCAACGGGAAGTCCAGTAAGTCAGGTCATAGCCAACCTTTTCATGGAGCATTTAGAGAATATAATAATGGAGTCATCAAGGGTATGGTTTAGATACGACGATGACACTTTTGTGATTTGGGGTCACGGAATAGAAAAACTTAACGATTTCCTTTCTTATATAAACACACTACATATAACTATTCAATTTACGATGAAAACAGAGAAAAATCAACAACTAGCGTTCCTAGATGTATTAGTAAATCGAAAGGAAAGGAAGGTTGCTTAGGACATAAAGTGTATCGAAAACCTACACAAACGGACAGATACCTAAACAGGAACTCAAATCATCATGCAGGCCAAAAACAAGGTATCATCAAAACTCTGGCGGAGAGAATTTGTGAACCACAGCATCTGCAAAGTGAACTTCTTTATATTGAAAAAGCGCTTTCCTCTAATGGTTACACCAGAAGAGAAATACATGAAGCGATTACCAACGTTTCTAGAAGAAAGATCATATATAGGCAAAGCGTTCTTGCCCTATATATCTAGGGCAACAGACAGAATTGGGCGAATACTTAAAAAAGCCAATGTAAAGACCATTTTCAAGCCAACAAAGAAAATCAATAATTGTTTAAGATCGGGGAAGGACAAACGCGACCCGTTAGCAACGGCCAGAGTATACCAAATACCATGCACATGTGGAATGGTATATGTGGGAACCACAAAAAACACACAAACAAAAGGATAAACGAACATAAAATCCATTGTCGTTTAGGACATACCGATAAATCTGCCGTTGTCGAACACGCTGTGGAAAGCGGAGAACATCGGATACTATTTGAAGAAAAGCAAATGCTGGATAAAACATCACATTACTACCCAAGTTTTATCGGGAAGCGTTGAAAATATATAAGCATTCAAATAATTTTAATTGGATAGAAGAAAGACTAAGAATTAACAAAACATGGATACCGATATTTGGAACAACCCAATGCAGCGATGGTTCGTGGAGAATTAAAATGAACCACGAGCTGGATGAACTAATGCAAGGCGCAGATATTGTTAGATTTGTAAAGTCACAAAGACTAAACTGACTTGGTCACCTAGAAAGAATGCCAGATAATCGAACTGTAAAAGTAGTCGAGAGATGGAAGCCCCAAGGAAACAGAAGGCCCCGTAAACGATGGATAGACGACGTAGAGAGGGATCTTAAAACCATGAACATCAGGCAGTGGCGAAGGAAAGTATCCGACAGGGCAGAATGGAAGAACATTGTTAAGCAGTTCAAGACTCACAAAAGGTTGTAGCGCCATTAGAAGAAGAGGAAGCAGAAGGATACCGATATTAAAA